CAATCATTTTGTGAAACACACAAAAGCCTGATATGGGTGCCCATCATACAATGGGCACTCGCCGTTCTTGTCAACAAAAGGATTGCATAACATTTGAGCATTATTATCATATTGATGTATTTAATGAGGTAATGGATTATCAATTGGGGGAGTTAAATACTCGATTTCCAGATGGAACTGTGGAACTCCTTTGTCTTAGCTCAGCATTGGATCCTCGTGATGCTTTCAAGCGATTTAACATTGGTGATATATGCACTCTTGCTGAAAAATTTTATCCTCAAGATTTCAGTACAACTGAGTTGCAAGCTTTACATCAACAATTGGGATTTTATAAGATTGATATGGGTCGCATTCCAGCCTTCAAGAATCTTGATTCCATTCCTATATTACTTCAATGCTTAATTGAAACAGGATTAGCACAAACATATTACTTAATTGATAGATTGATTCGTTTGGTGCTAACTCTTCCAGTTTCTACAGCAACAATAGAACGGGCATTTTTATATATGAGACTTATCAAAAATCGACTTCGAAGCAAGATAGGTGATGAGTTTCTTTCTGATTGTATGTTACTACACATTGAGAAAGAATTTGCTGATAATATAGATAATGAATCAATAATTAGTGATTTTAACTCTATCAAGACTCGAAGGGTGCAACTTATATAATGTTGGTTGTATTTGCATTGCATGTTTATTTCTTCTTGTCTTTTTTGTTTTAGTTTACTAGTTTCTATCTATGTACTAGATGCATTTTGAGGGGTAAGGCTCAAGATGTCCCCCCCTACTAGGTGTAATGTTTTGGTTATCAATAAAATTCACTTGTACCGTCGAGTTTTCTTTGTTCTTATTAGGTTTTGTACGTAAGGTAAATGTAGCCGCCTCAATTCGGAATCCTGGGTCCGTCCCCGCCGCCTATGGTGGTTTTCTGGAAATGGAAAAAAGAAGTGGTGTTGAGTTGTTTTAACTTGAGTGCTTTCCAATCTCTTCTTGAGAATAAATAATCATTTATATTTTTGCAAAGAGTGTAAGAGAGGGAGAGATATAGAATGAGGAAGAGAGAAGGGGTCAGGAGAGGCTGAAAGAAAGAAAAGACAAAAAAAAGGAAGGGGAGAGAGGGCTGTGGGCCCCTTTTATTATTATTATTTTTTAAATTCTCTCATAAAAGTTAACCAAAGGTTTGGGAGAATTTACATCCTTGACAGGTGTTACTAGCATTAATTAAAAGTTTAAAATATGCATAAAATTAAGCATCAATAATTATAGAGAGCAACTAGGAGTACTTCTTCTCTCCTCAGATTTCGGAGTTCTTAGGAGGTGGATAGAGAGCATGGTTGGAGTTGTATTTATCCAATTCCTCTATAAAATTTGTCTAAGGAGGTGATTTAGACACTACTAGAAAAATGTCCAAAAGGCACGAATTCTATTTGTGCTCTTTATGTCAAAAAAACACGAATAATTGTGCTCTATAAAAATACCCACGGTGCATCCACTATGAATTTGTCGGACCCTTGTATAGGAGTTTCCATTTCTTGTAGAGCACAACTTCATCACTTCGTGTCAGACATTTAAACCACAAATGAAGCATATTTGTGCTAATATTTTGACAAGTGACTCAGATGGTAGTTGGGCCCCACTTGCACTCCATCTCTTGTCAGCAGCTCTTGGAGAATGCGAAAATAATATTTTTATTCAATATGGACACAAATTTCTCAATTGTGGCTAAAAATGCAAACTTTTTATAAAAAATTAAAAAAAATTAAAACTCAGATACCAAAACCAAATAAATTTTGTTAAATCATTCTTTGTACAACTCTGAGTATCTACATATTTTACAGATTACAATAGAACCCCCATAATTTGCAACAAAGTCCCTTTTGACAATAGCATCTTCAAATCTCCAGATATGCTTTATCTTCCCATTTCAAAATTGCATACAATCAGATTCAGATTCAGTGAAACAATCAAATAAAAGTAAATTTAATTGATATCGAAATATTGAGCATAACAAAATTCTCAAAGAAATAGCAATTATAGTGGAAATACTAGTAACAGAAGCTGAAACAAGGAAAATATAATATTAAACATGGGAAATAGCGGTAGCAGATGCAGCATACTCACCAAGAATTTAGGCACTCCATATCTGGATAAAATGTTGCAAAGAGTGAGAGGAATTCAACGTCAACCAACATTAAAGCCTCAAAGTAAACAAGGGTCCTACAATAATTTTTTTTCAAAGAAAAAGAAGAAGAGCACGAAGGTACCTTGTAATGTTCTTGAATAGAAAATCTCGTTGCTTCATTCCATCAAGTTTAACAATAATTTTCTTGAGGATTCTAAAACAAAAATTCAAAACCGCAATAGCACAACTTCAGAAAATCCCAATCGAACTCAAAACCAATTCATAAAATCATCAATTGATATCAAAATGCATTCTTAAACTCACCTATAAACAACAAATTTCATCCCCAAAATCGAAGAAAGAAATTAATTAACATAAATCCAGATTCTCATCTCAGAGCCAAGAAGAAGATAAACAAAAAACTAGAAAGAAAAAAAGATAGAGATGGAGACATGTAGAAAGAGGAAGAAGAAGGAAAAAGAAAAGAATTTATAAAAAAATATGGAGAAAAGAAAAAGAAAAAAGAGGCGTGCGTTCCAAAAAAAAAAAAAAGAAGATATTTATCTTTAGTATCTTTAATATATTCATTTTTCAATGAGATATTTGGAGAGAAGCTTCTACAGGAAGGCAGGTGCCTTTTTGAAAGTATTTTATTTATACTAGCCTTGCAAGAGGTTTTTTTTTTTTTTTTAAATTTAAATTTATTTTAGAATTAAAAAAGATAATGGGTAGTTGTGTTCCATAAAAATAGGGTCCATTATCTGATTTTTCTTTTAATTTTAATTTTTTTAAATATGAAAAAGTGTGAATTTACCATATTATGCTCTTTTAATTAATAATTTCAATTCTTAATGTCATTAACCAAGGGCATTTTTTGGTATTTTGAATGTTTCATCATTCTCTGCCTTTTGCTTTATATATATAGATTTTTTATGAAGATTTTAGAAATTATTCTAGACTCAATTTAAAGTATTCATGCTCTATAGGTCACCTAAAAGGACACAATTTCAGTATTCACGCTCTATAAGCAATTATATTTTGAAATGCGTACGGACTTAACCACAAAATTCAATATCCATGCCCAATACTATGTCATAATATTTAAAATAATGTGTGCATAAGTACCAAGAAATATGTTTTTTATTGGTAAGTAAAAGACAAATAATATTTTGTGGTTATAATCTGTAAGCAAAAGGGCACAATAGATTTTTTGTGGTTACAAAAGCTTCAATTATTCTTACACTGAAGTGACAAACTCTATGCTAATATGATAATTGGCCACAAAATTTGTGCTTAAACTACTTAGGCACAATTATTTTTTTATTATGTTGGCATTGGACACAAAACAATTGTGTCTTCCCTGTAGATCACACAAATACTACCTAGCTGTGTCAAATGTGATTCAAAATGGCATGAACCTCTTTTTTGTGCTTTTTGGATTGTGCTTTTAGCCCATTTTTTTAGTAGTGAGAGACCATTATAGATGCTCGTAGGATACTGACAGTCTACTAAAGTCTTTATATTCAAAGTAATCAAACAGTTCAATACACATCTAATTAATTTTATCAAGTTATAATGGTCATTTCTGTTTTTGAGGTTCTTCATTCAATCCGCCCTCCAGTTTCCTTGTTAATAAGAATTGACTGACGCAATATATATCTTGGCTCCACCATTTCAGTACTCAGTTTACAAGTTTATGCGAGGCTCTCATTATGAATCTGTGTATGTTATGTGATGTGTGATGAGTTTAGATTAGTGAAGGTAATTTATGAAGAAGTGATTGTTGTAGAGAAAGCATTTTCCAAATGTGAATAATATCAACGTTTGGGCATCGCATAAACAAAAATTGAAGTTCAGGCCGAAACAAAATACAAACAACTTACAAGCTATAAAAAAAATAAAAAATAAAAGAAGATACAAACATTCAAGTTGGGTTTTATTATGGAAACCACGTACATCATTTATTTCTTTGAACAAGTCCTTAAAACTTTCTTAAAATTGATAGAAACAAATATCAGCAAAAATGACATAAAAATCCAAATGTGAATAATCCATATTTGAATTGAAATTGAGATATTGATACAAGTTCTTCCCTTATGAATCAGACAGATCGATTCATGTCAGAGGGGTTCACTTCCAAAGGTTTGGGTTTTTTGGCAAATATTCCTGCTCCATAAGTAGAAATGAAGATCTCAACAAGAAGGGGAAATTGCATCCATGCAAAGGAGACGATTGGAGCACTAGAAAGTAAAGTGATTGGAATCACGATCCATGACTTTTCACCCAACATAATACAAAGGGTAGAAACAAACGCAATCATCATGGTGGCTATGGAGAAAAAGAGGGTGAAAAGACCTATAATCATTTTCTTTGGCAATGATTCAAGGAAATCAGCTTCGGCATAACGTGAGGTGAGGACTCCCAAAAATGTCATTACAGAAGTCGTGGAAGAAAAGAGTGATAGGGCATCAGAAACTATAAAGACCTTAAACTTTTTATCTAAGAAGAACAAGGGCATGCCTGTATTTCCGTTGTTTCCACCTGGAACTGTGAATGCTGCAGTAAACATGATGGTAATGATAAGCGCACCTACAACCGTACAAGAAGTTGCTGTCTCTTTCATTGATCTTTCTCCTTCTTTCGCCAACTCTTTGTGGTTCTTAGTAAATAAATCACGTGCTGTCATGCCATCTGTATCATTTACAGCCTCAAGAACCTTGGGAGGTACAATTTTTTCAATCTCCTGTATTTCGTTGAAGCAATTACTGATTTTCTAATCCTCAAATATATGCTTTTCAACAAAAAAAAAACAGAAAAGAATATTTTCTGATCCTCGAAATGTTTAGAGAAATTCTGACCTTGAACCATTGTAATTCTCTCTGCATTTGCAACGCGGCACCTTGGATATGATTAAGCTGTGCAATTGGGGATAAACTCGCTGCTGCATGTAGCAACGTATTGTTGAACTGATCTATTCTCACTACCATATTAAGCACTATTCGGGTCAATTCATAGAAAAAGAAATAGACATTTTCTTGACGACATTCAATGGCAAACTGAAGCATGGTCTTCCCATTTCCCCAGTGAGCCCAATCATTACAGGATTTGATCGAAATATCTCAAAAACAAACTCAACATGCCCTTGTTTAATAGCTTCGAAGATTGCTGCTTGCACGACACTTTCTTGCATTTGTTTAAGACTCATACCCTTTACCACTTCGCACATGGAATGTAGAATTTCAGATGTTCTTTCGTGGGTCCATTTCATCTTATATATGTGATTAATTCCTAGGATGGCATAAATAAAACAATATTAATTACCAAGTCTCAAAAGAATACGACCAAAATAAGATTTAAGAGAATATAATTATACGTACTGAAAATTGAAGGAAAAGATTAACAAAGTGTGGATATTTAACATATGTACCAAAAAGGTTACAGGGATTTGGAACAAGTCCTCGCAATATACCCATACCTATTGCAAATCAAAATATATTTGCATTAGAGAATATTCTAATCACAAATTTTGTGCCATATTATTAAATTTTACACATATATGAGGAGCAGTTAGTGGGCCACGTCAAAACATGTTATCCCACACCCTTATAATTCCCTCTCTCTTCTTCTTATAAAAAGTACTAGTCATACCACATTTATATACTATTTTGTGTACCACATCTATTAGTGGGCCCCATTGTATTAGTGGGCTCCACCCCTATTAGAGAGGTAGTACATAAGGTGGTATGCAAATATAGCATACCTAACATTGCTATGTTCTTATTGATGTGTCTGATAGGTTATGATGATAAATAGGTATTCATCAACTTAATTTTTTGTTGACAATATGCTATTTTAAACTACTCTAATGTTCGGGGAGGGACACAAACTTAGATATAAGGAGGCAGGTACATTGCCTAATCAACTGAACTAATCCACATATATTAAGTGCTTAGTAGGTTTATTTTAATAAATAAACCATGTGATACTTTGATCACAATGTTAAGTTTTAACCTCAATGTTGGTCTTCAAAACAATCAAAACTGGCCTTATTCAACCTAGAAATTAAAATAAAAAAGACCAGTAAAAGTTTTGTAACAAACCAAACCGACCAAAAGTTCAGTATACCTCCAGAATAGCTCTGTGTCCAAAAGTATCGGTTAACAAAAGATTTTGACCTACTGAAAATCTGGTACGGTGATCGGTTGAACTCTCTGCCAATCTGTGTAAAGTCCTACTCTATGGAGCCATTTTAAGGAGAAATTTTTGTTACACACACAATCATGTAATTCTGTCACGCAATCACATTCATTTCAATATTTACTAGCAAAAACCATAATGCTACTTTTCGGATATATCATACCTGAGCAAACTATGAGATCCCTTTCACTAATTGGGTCATCTTCGACGTTTTCAACATTTATGCGAATATCATAAACTGCTGAACCAGGTCGTACATGTATACCTATCAAGTTATCAACACAAGAACAAATGACTAATCATACGTTAAATGTTTCCTTTTGATGTATGAGCTTTCCCCTATATAGTGATTTTTGTGTCGTGAACATGGAAGTTCATGTGCATATACAACAATAATGAATGAGTGATGGTATAAGAACACATTATTTTTATCATACCTCTTTAACACACAACAATAATAACTATGTGATGTAAGTGCCCCGGGGAGGCTGGCTCAGGCGGTGGTTTGGCTGCTAGAGTGCATGAGTTATTGATCAGGGAGGAGATAAGAGAGATAGAGATCGATTGGGCTTGCTGGGTGCTAGGGAGATCAAAACCGAGGGGGGTGTGTTGGTGGGGTTGGGTGGGAAATCAATTTGGATGGCTTGGAGTGGGTGGAAAAATCAATTTGGTGACTAGGGTGGAAAGTGTGGGTGGCTGATATTGGGAAAAGTTCAAAGGAGGG